TTTTTTTTTTTAACAAGTGAAAATAAAATGGAATTTAAAAGAAAAAGTAAAAAAACAAAACAAAAAAAAAGGTCTAGGTTGAAAAGCGGTGTAGAAAACTCAAAACAAGAACATGTCTGCATTGTTTTTCCCAGGAACTTAACAGATGTTTAAAGCCACGTGGAGAGGTCAAGAGCTTCAGATCTTTTAGATATTCCAGGAAACAGGAGCGAAGTAGGAGAAGGCCCTTTTGCCTAGTTCAGTCTGCACTGAGGAAATGCTGCATGTAGACCAAGATCAACCTTCCCAATTAAGCAAAAACATATACTCTTGTTTGTATAACAGCTGCTAGAGGTCACCACAGCAAGCAAACTTGCATGAAAAAATAGGCAATTGTTTTATGCAAAATGCCCTTCCTGATGCAGCTTGTGCTCAAACCTGCAGCATCAGGTTTACTATACTGCAGCACTGACCATTGAGCTACCGCAACCTCATAGAAGCATAAATTGCACAAAGCATAAATTCTCATGCTCGTGTTCTCTTTTTCTCTTCTGCCTGTATGTTGTATGTAACAAGTCTCTTGTAAATGGGTCTTTGAGGCTCATTGGGAACTAACCTGTATAAATAAAGGTTTTATAATAATAAAGTATAATATATTGTATCATACTGTTCCCCACAAATTAGGTCAGCTCACTAAAGCAACATTTTTGATTATTTTCCTTGTATGATCAGATATAGCAGACATTGAGGAAGTACAACAGAATTGTTTGGATAGTATGAGACTTTCTTTTCAGAAATTAATTTGCCACTACATGTACTAAACTTTGTTATGACTCTTTTGGATGTCCTGGAGACAGCAGCATGTCACTTCAGTCAAAACCCCTTATGACAAAATATCACAAGTGAGGCAAAAATGTGACATTGCAACAATTAAACAATAGAAGTGCATATTGTGGATTGTTTTAAAGGGACAATGTGGGTTATGTCAAAATTTTACGCAACTATTGGTAATTTCACATTAGATATTAAAAATTGCATCCCTGCATTTGTCTGTTCAGTTTCTCTTTGGAGTTTTAATGGTTTTCCTTATAGTACAGAAGTAAAAGAAAACACACACAAATTAAAAATATTTATTGGACAAATGGACACTGAACAATGACTATAAAACAAACAGATAAAGGATGAACGCACCAGAAATGATATTCAGTTTGATGATTTCCTGCAACTAGTTGATATAAAAAAAAAAAAAAAAAAAAAACCCCTAATGATAAATTTTATTATAAATGAAATAGAAAATCTTTGCTCCGTCTCATGTAAAATTATGAGGTATTCTTAGCTTGTCTTTGAAATAGATTTACAAAAAGAGGAAAGCTCTTTCACATATTTGCACAATTCTTTAAAACACAAGTTATAGTATAACAGTCATCATACAGTACATGTTTGATTATCATTAAAAAATATATAAAATAATAAGAAAATAATAATAATAATGAATTAAATTGTTCTCCAGAGTCCCAAATTTACATAAAAAAATCTATAAACTCCAAGACCAGTTGGGATGAATGATATATAATGGCAGAAAAAGTAGTTTTGCATCGACTAACAGATTTTCCCAGTCTGCAACCACAATATCATCATTAAATAACATTAAATTAGCAAGAGGGGATTTACTGTATACAGCAAAGGTTACATTATACACACTTGTTTTTCAAGCTACAACAAAAAAATTATTTGGTAAAAAAATTATCTTCACTAGTTTCTAAAAATATTACATACAGCTCAGCGGGGCTTTGTACATGTACAAATACATTTATTTAAAATAATATTTTGAACCCTGTAATTTATAGCAGTAATCTGTTTGGCATTTTAATCCTATTTAGAAAACAAATGCTGAAATTCAGAAACTCCCTCTTGTTGCATTAACATTTTAAATAAACAACAGACGATAAGCAATGTGGAAATTATGTCATATCAGCATTGAAGCGAAACTTATGGTAATATTTATTTTAACCTTTTTATTATTCTAAGCAAGCATGCACTATAAGCGTTTGGATTTTTTTTTGTGTGTGTGTCAAAGTGGTGTAATACCAGCATTTTGGTTAGCACCTTAAAAAACTCACTTAGCACCATGTCATGAGGGGAGAACGGGATAAAATAGAGGTTTTGTTAGAATTTTTGTACCCGCTCTTCTTTTTTGTGGCTCAGTTCTCCAAAAATTGCTTGTACTGTATCTGTGGTCAGTTTGCTGTAAATTGTTTAGTTGGCTTTTATTTTTAATCATAAATGAGGAAGCAACTACACAGTTTGAAAGGATTTAGTAAAATACTATTAAAAAGTAGATCTCTATATTGTTTTGCTTCTTTATCAAAACTCTGGCTGATTCTTTCTTATCAGTGGCATCTGGTTCAACAATGTGTGAATAACATGTTCTTACATATTATGAATTACTCCATGTGGATGGCTTTCATGCTTTGGTTTGTGGTTTGATACTAAGAGCGCTTTGGGTTGCACTGTTTTGCTATTCCACACCAAAACAAAAAACTGAAAATATCCTAAATGGAAACTAGTAAATAAAAGAAACATGACTTTCAATTAATTTAAGAAAACGAGTCTTCCTCTGGATTAATTCATCCATGCAAGATCATGAGGAGAAAAGAACCAAAGGCAAATATAAATGCAACACCTGAAAAATCCTTTCGTATAAGCTCCAAATCCCAAACTATTCTTTAATTTTCTATTGCACTTAATTATTCTTTACATAGGATATACATGTGT